GCAGGAAAGAAGAGACAAATATTCTTCCGTCAAGCAGCCGTCAGCATCGAGCCTACCATTATCAGGCACCATCTCCAACATCATTAGATATTCGATGTCCACTTGATATTCGAGTGTCAAATGAGGTCCATCATTCTTAATCACAAGAACACCAGTAACTTGCCCCACTTGCACAATCTAATACATATGACAATGACAAAATTTGGATGCACGTTTCCTTTTAGTTTGCATCTTGGTATCTAAAGTGAGAAGAAACTAGTACCATACCATCTAGACGTTTACGCAAATCCAAGCCATTATCTCACCACAATAAGTCATTTTTTACATCCTCTCCTTGTCGCTACTACAGTATCTACAGATGTTACCTTGTTTTTGTCAACATTTCTGTCAACAATAATTTAGCTATAAGAAATTTATTTACTTCCCAGAGACATCAATAGCGAGATTTCCTTCATCCTTCCTTCTTCATCAATTTTTGTAATAAAGACTAGAAAAATATTTTTTTATGATTTAAAGATACACCAAACTTAAACGTCAGTATATGAAATCATAGGTATGAAATTTGTTCGGAATAAAAATTGAAAGGTAGTGAGCTTTTTCTTGCAAATGTGTATTATCTATCCACGTAAATAAATTTTAGCAAACTCCATATCTGAAGTAGAAATTCACGCCGCCTTCTAACGATTCTTCTTATTTTCATTATCACATGGCTTATTAGGTGTGGTCATTCATAAAGGATACCACTTATTGTTCATAGCTTTATTCTACAAATGAATTACAGTCAACACACTTATATATAAAGTTTGTGTCTATACGTAATGTCATGTGAGATACAAAGAACGAAAAAAAGCGATTGCAAGTAATTGGTTAACATCAATTAAAGTTGTTTACATTACTTCTTAGTAATCTTAATAATTTCAATTTATAGCTTCTATCAACTCATAGTCACCTTTCAATAAACATGACCCAGGGCTTTCAAGCTAATAAGATGGAATACATATGTCTTTTATAATTATCGGTTTATTTTATTTATCTATGTCCAGGAGAAAATGAGATTCCGTATCATAAGAGGTATCCACTCATGGGGGAATAGGATCGGACATAGCCCCAAAATCTGTTACTCAATTGTAAGAAAGTGTATATGCGAAGAAGATACACAAGCATAAAGAATGAGAAGATGCGAAATCCCATGGTCTTTACGGGCACAGTGCTGGCTTCTCTTGTACAGTACAGGAAAGGTGTAGTACGGTGCCGTCCCCTCAAAAGCTGACTACACTTGCAACGGTTCAGTTAAATAGTTGGAGATCATTATCTTCATCATGAGATAATTAATTTGACCAAGTAAATGCCTGGAAGTACAGTAATATTAGCATATTCTCCTTAGCTTCGGACAAAAAATAACTGAAATACAGAAATTAATTTGGAAGAACTGACAAAACCAGTCCATTTCCAAACTAAGATCTCAGTATGATATCGGGACCGTTTTAACTGAGACTAGTATTGGCACAGATCCGTGAAAATATCGAGTCACCTGTCACGGTGGTCAATTATTGTCTATTGAACCCGGCAATTGTTCCTATCCTGGGTTCAAATCAAGCCAAGAGGCAGTAATAACAGTTCCAACTTATTACTTTGGTGTGAAAGAGAAACGTGCTGGGAATGGGGATTTTGGCACTGTTTTTAATTTGATTCAAATACATGCTCAGAAAAGAGCAAAAGTGACCTTTCTTTCGATACTAAGTCTCAGCGAGCTGGCACACAGAAAATATACTAATTTCGACAGAAACGGTGTGCAGCTTTTTAAATCTAGTTCATATATTCAGTCCTGTACATCTTTGTCTGCTTCTCTATGCAGTAAAATGCGACTACTCATGGAGAAAACTGGAGGGACAACAATATCGTTGATCTCTGCCGAGGATAAATAAAGATAATAGGTAGAGGGCTTGGCCGAGAGGTGCAGTTCAGCCAACCTATATCGTACCTTCTCCTTCGACGTCAGGACAGAGAACTTGTTGGTTCTGATGGAAACCCGTAGCCTTTGTAGGGGATAATGAGCGCTCAGATGAACTAGGTTGCCGGTGCAGGTGCAGGTGCCGGTCCGGGCCGGGCAGAGTCGGTGGGGACTCGGGGAGATCGACGACCCCGCAGAATGAGAGACGCTGTTCATATTGTAACTCGTAGTGGAAATGCGAATGTCGGTAACGAACCCCGTCTCAGAGTATGATAATCAAGACTCGCGAAGGGCGTTACAGGAATTTGGAAAGTCTAACGACATTAAGGGTGGCTTCTACCCGGCAATTCAACACTGGTAAGAAACATCCTGTCCGTAGTCGGGATAAATTCAAACTCCCATCTTCTTGGCGGAATATCCCACAAATCCTGAGCATTCTCTTCCTTCTCTCTTCTTTATGTGCACTTTAGCTTCTAAGGAACGATCGGACGATCAAAATCGTACCACAGTTACCATCCAGCCGGTAACAATCATTGTGCTCAGCGTTGCGGGCCGCTAGGAGTTCAGTGCAGACTACACTCAGCCCCATAAAGTCTGTACTCAAGTCTTCTCATACCCAGTCACCTATCTTCCATTCTCGCTCTTTCTTTGTCTCACAGGACGCCCCCTTTACTGGTTACAAAAACTGCGCATGGCAGATTACAACGGGCGTCTCGCTTGCTTGTTCTCATTAAAGTAATGAACGCCTGATTGAGCATGAAAGTTGGAACAAGCACATTTGCCCTACTCAGATATAAATAAACCCTCGTTAGCACTTAGTGTTAGTTTTGAGTAGGTGTGCTTCCTGCGGGTAGAAGATGTCGAGAAACAGCTACGACCATATGGACAGTTTCCCCTTCTTCTATGGCAGTAGCAATGATATGATTGTGAAGAGGATCATAATACATCGACCAATGTTCGAAGTGTTATGATTATAATAGTCAACTCAATTTTATACATTTTCAGAAGTCAAATTATCTTTCAGTATTCAAATTTTTTTATCAAATTTAATAAATGTATTTGGACCTAAACACTGATTTTCAATAAGTGTCAAAAAATCAAATATCTTCATTTTTTTTTTATGTATCATCATAATCTACCATACACTCTTGACTTTAAATTTCACTCTTAAAACTACATTGAAAAAAATTACAGTAAAATTTTTTTTTATTATTAGAATAGATTAACACAAATCTAAATAAAAATAAGAATTATATTTAAGATAGTCAAGAATGTTTTTCAATATGAACAGTTGCACCAATATTTTTTTCAAAACTTCTTTCATCATAGTTACTAAGTTTTGACTAATCGGATTTCAAATTTAGCTTAATATATTAAATTTATTCAAAAATTTCTTCACATTAATCAAGATTTTTAAACTAAAAAATTTCAATATTAAAATTTCTATTATATATATAATATAATATGAGTCAAGAAACATTAAATTTATCAATAACAGCTCAAAGTTGATCGCATAAAATTGCAAAATCTTATTCTGATTCGTTGGCATAGTTTACAATGATTGATTTTATTAATCTCTTTTTTAGTTAAAAATGATAAATTAAAAAAAAATTATCAGAATGTATGCTATGATATTCAAAACAAATCATCTGACATGAAATATTGGAAGAAGAATTTTTTTCAGTATAGTTATTTGTCACATTGATTCAAATCAAAAGGATCAATCAATCATGTTCAAAATCTATTGCTAAAATAAAACGTTATGCTGAAAAAACTTAATCGGAGGTTAATTAGATAAAATTTCCTCTCGAAAATATAAATTCAAAATTATTCATTCAATTTTGTCATGTCTAAACTTCATATATAAAAATATTGAAGATAATATCTCATTAATTTGAAAAGACTCAATGCCCTATGTGTGTAGATTGATGGCGATCTCACTAATCAGGCCTATGTTTGACTCTTAAAAGATAGACACAAGCCATTACTTGTTATTACCTAAAGTATAATTGTCATGAATATGTTTTTGAAGAGTTCATATATCATCATCCTTGTATAGTAATCATGTCACTACATGAAAATGTGAATCTATCTTTGAATAGGTCTAAAAAATAAGAATTTTTCAAAATTATGATCATTTTCTTCATCCCTTTCATTCATGAAAATCTTACTTTTTCTATTTGCGTGATGTGACTTTGATATAAAAAAGTGAAATTTTAGGAAGTGCATACATTTGACACAATAGAGCTCATTATAGAGCTCTAATGGTCAATGGTTGCAATGAGACTAATTCTCTGACGAAAATTAGGCTCGATTTTGGGCCTTATAGAATAGAATAGAATAGACTAGATAGGCATTTAACTATTTGATTACCAAAATCATCTCCTAAGCTTAACGATAAGGTTTGAATTAATATTCCAAATCTATGGGTTGAATGTATGTCAAATCCTTGTTGAATTTGGTTGGAGTCTTTCTGTAGTATGGAAGTTGACTTCAAAACGTTTGTGAGAGTGCATTACATCAAGTTCATCAACATATTTATCGCATGGCCTATTAGCACGGGATATTTGGACATATCGAAAATGAACCAGAAAAGAGGGTCAAGCTTGTATTGCAGCTCGAAGACACCATCTTCCAGAGTACGCCAGACGAGATTACAAAGCAGTCAAAACACTCAGATTCCTCAAGTCCACAACAGCATCAGATATGAAAATTTTCAAAGATCCTGTGCTGAAAGTATTCTCATGCTTGGATTAGTGAGAGTTGAAACTCTTGTTAAATAAATCGCAGATGATTATGGGTGCATTTGATCGATCGCAGTCGTGACTTGGGTCATTGCACTTATCCAAACTCAACTGTAGTAAGACGAGCCCCTCGTACTGCGGAGATACCGTATAGTCGGTGTTACGGCCTTTTGATGTCTAAAAGTGCGTGCAGCAGGCTCGACTCGTGCTCGCTCAGACTCTGTAGATACAAGATGCCAGGCCTATAGCCTTCTATGGCTGTCTTGCACCGGGCAGGGCGAGATAGAGAGAGAGGGTGAGAAAGAGAAAGCATTCATAAGGTCTCCAGCTTACCCCGGAACACATCATATTTTCAAACCGTGTGTTCGATTTCTGAACTCATCTCTCTCTCTCACCATCCATCCGTCTTCCTTTCTTTTCCCTTCCCTTCCTTCCTTCTTTCTTTCTTTCCTCACCTTCGCTTGTCCCTACTTCCCGCTCTCTCTTTCTCTCTTCTACATACCCTCTCCTTCCCCCGAACCTCGTGCTTGCCGGCATTCTGCTTCGCTTCTCGTGCTAGCTCATTGAATTATACTGTGCTGTGCCAAAGTCGTCCACTCCGATACCATCTCGTGAGGATTCTGATACCGTCTCGTGGCGCATGCTTGCGCGTTCGCTGGGGCCTCGGAGTGTCCAGACTCCAAAGATATCTGACTGACTTCGTCTTATTTTCTCTTTTATCGAGCGTCAGTAGATGGGGAGGCAAAAAGCTGTCCGTTCTCTGCTGGGGAAGAGAACATTAATCTGGGGTCAAGTTCTCACACTTTGCCAATGGAAGAGAGCATGAACTTGTGGTGGGGTTTCTTGTCCCTCTCGAGCACGCGGTCCGTCTCTATCTCTCGGCACTTGAAACACCGTACAGATTGAAACAGGCGTCAAATGACACAACTTCTTTTCAAGCACGCGCAGTCGGACCAATTCTTACTGTTCCGCGGTGGGAAGGGGTTAGCCAATTCGCCGCACTCTCTTGCTGAGGACGACCTCCTCGAGTTCTCGATTTACAGGGATTAGAACAAAAAACCTGCCCCAAATGTTATAATGCTTCAGCCTACGGCATCAGGATGACCGACAGAACTGACATAGGGCAGAATTATCTTCGAGTGCGTTCCAGCAATCTCGAACCTAGCACCGTCTTATTCGTAGTTAAGTACAAGTTTCAAACATTGGCGAGGAGGTGTCATCGGCGATCGACGTCCGAACCCGATAACCATAGGATACGATTCTGCTGAATGCATGGGGGGTGAAAAATATTATCGATATTCATATTCGATTTCTTTCAGTGCTGCGAAATTCGGGCGAGATATATATACTCATATATATATTTACACATATATTTCGCTAGTTTTTCTCACAGCTGCTCTAGCTAGTCTCAGGAGTACAGCAGATGCCTGTGGCGTGAATATCTTTGCTAGTGGAGTAATTAGAGCAGAATTTTCTAGAGGGCTTGAAGGAAACTGAGGTCGATCCTCAAAGTCCGACTGTAGGATCTGTCGGTCTAGTCTATGCGCATTCACCTACAATTTCTTGTGTTCAGCGTAAATTTTTCTCAACTCTGGGGACAAAACATCAGCTCGACAGTATATATCGTGCAGTTTCCAACTTGAATTGGCAGCACATTGTGGCCACTTTTCAACCGTGGTTTGAAAAGGTGCCTACATGCTGCCTTGGGCTGAGACATGTCCTTCATGCAAGCTGAGCAGCAACCCTCTCCCTGGATCAAAGACCTGGTGCATAAACTAAAATGGACCTACGCTGCTCTATGGACGCTGAACACAACAGATGGTTCCAGGTAACATCCTGCTTCAAGTTACTGTCTCCTGTTCCAAGCAAACTGTGAAAAGTTCTAGCTTTATGTATTCATATATCATGGGCATTTTGAATTCCTTTATCTTTATGATACACAGTATTCATTTTTTCTGCTTGTCGAAGATTGTCACATTATCAAGTTGGTGCAGCTCGTGCTGCTGTTGCTCAGCCTTGAGCAGGCAAACTCCTATCTGACATTCTCATAGCTTTGGTCTCAAAAATAGCGAAACTCAGACCAGAGGGTAAAACCCTTGGCTCTTCTCGTACGGATGGCCGAGCAGGAAATCACTGCATGCTCACCATCTCGGGTCGGAAATTTGTGACAATGCAGGCCGCTAATTGGTATCGACGCAGCCCATACAGTTGCGGAATGGAAGGATGGATGGTACAATTCGGACTCGAATAGGTTGACTAGAGCGCTATCTGGAAACGAGAACGTAGTTAGAGACGATTCACGAATCGAAGCGTTGTTCTACTCCACTTATAAATCGTGCTCCTTTCAGCAAGGATTCGGGTAATTGACAGCTTTTCCCATCACACGAGCGGCTCTTGCGTTCTTTCGCAGTTACTTGGCGTATTCTGAGAGATATCCCTCGATACTGCGGTATCTCATAGTAGCTTGTCCTACCGGCTGGATCATTTAGAATCACCTTCTAGTTGTCAACATTTTCATCCTGAGCTGAACATATAAGATAGGACTTAAATTTTTGCTTCGTATGACTAAGAAGCAATATAATGAGTTGTGGATATTGAGGTGACGAGTCGACTGAACATCAAGGCTGGATGGATGTGCGTGGGGTGATTTGACCAAGCAGATACGTCGGGCTCGTACTGCTTAAAAGAGAAAGCACCTGGCTGACTGGCAGCCAGGAGGTCCTCGAACACGCGTTTCATACCCAAGCTCTCTTCTTGAAGGTTTCTCTTTCTCTCACACGCGGTATTTCCCTTTATGTCAGTTGGCGGAGCTTCCGTTGGATTGTGGTGTTTTTAATCCGTCACTGGATGTTAAGAATTATCTGACACGTTCCTGTTTGTTTGCACCTTCCTTTGCATTTGTCGACGACCGGTATATTATCTTGCTACTCAGACGGCACGTATTCAGGTACTGTGGATCATGTTTTGGGCTTCAATTTCTCTATTTGACTTTCTGAAGCTCATCCCTCGTCCGCAAGCGAGAGACTGAAAGGATGTTTGGTTTCAGAAGATGCCACTAACTCGAAAACGAATTTCAATTCGATTCAAGCAGTCATTCGTCAAAGTAGAGAGGCCGATAGAGAATTTAGAGAAATCGGATTTCCAACCCGTCAATTGCTGGCTTACACACACACTGGCTTGCGGCCGGGTCGATTGCAGACAGTGATGTGCACGCCTTGGAACAACCACGTACTGGAGCTGGGAAAATTCGAACAGGTGGGGATTTTACCTGCTTCTGATTTGAACTGTGCAATGCGAAACCTCACTCGTACTGTTTTGGAATGGTTGTTCGTTCGCTCGCTCGCTACCTCGGGCCTTCAGTGAGTCAGTCACACGAGAAGCGTAGAGTAGCAGTAAAAGCAGTACTGTAAAACGAGGAGGCGGAGGGAGACGACGTAAAACTCGCGGTCAATGGAGGTAAATCGACGATCATGCGGCCGATGGAAACTCGGCCCAGCGCCGGGAGACAATGCGGTGCTGAAGAACGCGGGAGCCCACGCGGGCGGGCAGAAAAAATCCGGGCAGCACTCGATGCTGGTGAGGTCAGAGAGCGCAGTTTCACGAGGGCGCTCGTCCTCGTTGGAAGAAGGCGATTAGACATGTGGACGAGGGAAGGCAACGTGATTTCGGGTCCACAAGACATTTTTTCTGTGCGCGATCGAAAGGCTGTGGGCCCCAGCAGAGCCCGGCGGTCCGCTGCGCTTTGGAACTTCCATAAAAAAATCGTTTTTGCCTCGCCTTTTATTTTTGTTTTGTCTCCTTTTCGTTTTTCGCCACCCAAGGCTGGTTAAGGCGCAGGAAGACTGTTCCCGTCTGGACCCGCGAGTCACCCTGCGGACGTAGAGAGTCTTCTGCTGCTTCTTCCTATAAGTGACAATTTTGGAGCTCTGAAAGTCTTCGCGCGCCGGGGCCTCGGTCTTCCTTCCACAGACGCATTTATTTGGCGATCACCACTAGCACTGCTCCTGCTGACTGCCACTCCTTACCTAAACCGAAAGCGTCGTTCTCATCATGCTGCATCAAATTGTTGCAGGAGTCGAGGAACGAAAATGTCCTGCATCAGATTCAGCGATGGCTCTCGAGCGTGACGACGCCTCTCAATATTCAGCCCAGTCCCGGTGCAGTGGGTTCAGAAAACGACAGCGGAGGAAGTCGTGAAGCCATGCAGATGTCTCCGTCGATCGCTTCGTCGATGTTTGCCGATGGCTCCAATTGCAACGTGCACTTCGGGCCGTCATCTGATATTTTGCTCAAGCGCAATAATTCCGGCCAAGGCAGCGGCGCGGGCGGTTTCTCGGTGTCGGGCCATGAGAACGCCTCCGCCTCCAGCGGTGCCCCGGGCGCTGGGAGTCGAGTGCAAGTGCAGGTGCAGGTGCGCAAGAAGAATGGCCTTGGCAGGTATCCCCCGCACTCTCACGATGCCATCTCGCTGCTCAATCGACATAATCAGGACGTGCTGTCGCAGAGAAGGTCGATTTCCGGACAGGAGAAGACTTTGGAGGCCTCATCCTTTGTAGAGGAATGGGGGCCGGCGGCAGCTGGAACGAGTAGTATATTCCAACAGGTGGTCGGGCATGATTCAGATCCTATCATCAGTTGCAGTGGCATGGGCATACCAGGAATTTCTTCGCTCATGCCGCCCGATACGTTCTCGCAGCAGCAGCAGCAACAGCAGCGCTCTCATCCGAGAGGAGCCGCGAGCATTTCCTTGGACCAGGCTTTGCTCACGTCATTGCCCATGACAATGGCAACCGACATTTCGGCATCCTTGGCGCTCCCCATGGACATGTTACAGGACTCGGCCGCAAATCTTTACGGTTTGCACTCGAAGAATTCCAGAGAATGGCCCACATTGGAACCCAGCAAAGAGCAGTCTCTTGTACAGATGCTTGAAGAGTTTACCGATGACGACCATTTACAGCGGCTTCAATCGCCAGATCATGCTCTAATCCAAACTGCAGTCGCTAGCTCCAGCGACACTATGGCCGAATGGGCCTCGACTGGGACAGCCTCGATATCCCATCAACAGCAGCATCATCGTCATTACGATCACCACACTCAACAAAGACTTCAACAGCAGCAACGCCAGCAGCAGCAGCAACAACAACAACGAGTTGTCCAGCGACAATTTGAATTTCCTAATAATCCTGCTGTGAGCAGCTTACAAAATATGACAACTCCGAGACCGGCGCTGGCCAATCTCATCTCTCACCAGCAGCATCAGCACCAGCCGCAGCAACACCGGCCGCAATTGGTCCCGCATGGTGGTGGACAACAGCCACAATTGCTCCCCCTAGGCCAGCAGCAGCAGCAACAACAGGTAAATCAACCAGGTCCTCCGAGTTGGCAACAAAACATTTCCTTCACCACGCCGACGGCTTGGGTGCGATGGGTGAGCCGAAAGCAAGCATCACTGTTGCGATACAAAGCTCGAGATCCCAACGGCGCGAGTCCTGCTGCGCTGCGCGTCAATCAAATGGTTCTCAAAAGGCTGCTGACAGAAATGGTACCGAAAATTGCTAAGGAGCAGAAAGCGCGAGAGCAGGAAGCAGGTCAGGCACTGGACACGGAGACCTCGAGCCACGGACACAGAGTCAGAATGATCAGCTATCCGACCACAACGTCGACGAAGCCTTCTGAATCCGGCACCCTCATCCAAGACCCTCAAGCAAGGACCCACATGCTGGCCGAGCGCAGACGAAGAGTGAGGGAAAACGAACATTACGACGCTCTGCGCAAACTAATTCCTCCCACCTCAAGGGTGGGTCACTAAATCCCCTATGTCATGATCATGCAATTGGGTTTGGCTCTCTTCTGGGACCTCGGGCGTGTAAGTTGAGTTCAGTTTTTATGGTCGTCGTCGATATTTAGTTCGTGATACATGACATTAGTGGCTTTCCCTTCCGCTAATTCCTGCCTGCTTTTGCTAATTGATGGCTTCCCATTGCGGTCTGTCACTGTACGTGTTCAGATGGACAAGGCAACGGTTCTGGCCGAAACCATCAAGCTCGTGAAAAAGCTCCGGAGACGTGTGGGGCAATTGGAGAAGGGAAACCCCGACAATAGTGGAACTCCGAACCTGTCATTGGTCACGTCCGAGGATTCGCAAATCGGCACAACTTCTCCCAGTTCACGTGGGGAACCTGGAAGTCCGATACCTGCACGTACAGGAGCCGGTTCCTCTGAACCCGAACTTCAGGAAGGAAAGCCTCCGGGTGGCAGATTTCTCGATTCCTGCCTCGTACCCGCTCCTGCTCCGTCACAAGAGGACAACAAGGAAATTGTTGAGGTTGATAGAAGAGCATGTATTCCGACCGAATTGAGAGCCAAAATTCGGACCTCGCACCGGCCCGACACTGTCATTCACATACTCACATGCTTGAAGGACCTTGGTCTAGAAGTCCTATCAACCAACATAAGCATTGAAAAGGATTGGGTTTACGCGGACTTTCAACTGAAGGTGAGATTTCAATTTCTTCCGTGGTAGTCTTTGAATTTTGTGGTTCCTGACAACTGAGCGGGAACAGAACACTCCATTGTCGATAACCAATAGCTATCGAGATTGAGTTGGTTCATCTCTTGTGAGTGAACTAATCAAGTCCATTGTTATTCGTTGTGATTGTCCATTGTTGATTCGTCTTCGTTGGCTACGCGCAAGAACTCCTGAGAATTTTTCAACGGAAAAGGCAGATTGCAAGTGCTCTCCTATGGCTCTAAAATACTCTTCCGGAGGAAACTCTTCGAAGACATCAGTCCATTTACAAATGCGTCTGTTTTCTGTTTTCTTCTGTCGTCAGATGAATGAAGTTCACATCTGCCGTGTATCACAATTCTGCGAAGAGCTTCAGGAAGCAATACGAAAAGCTATTTTTCCTGCAGAATCTTCCAATGCAGATTCAACTCTAGATGGAAGATCACACTCACAGGGTGAGTGGTCTCCGTTTTCTCGATCATAATTGTTTTCTGATGGTTTGTTTGATTATTTAAGTCTGGAGCTACGTCTTCCCATCTCTTGTCCACGATCACAGTATTCTTGTACATAGTGCAAACTATGTCAAGAGCTGGGTATTCTCTGTTGAGATCATATTTCTGCTGGGGCTTCAGTCCGTTGCTTCTCAGTGTTTTCACTTCACCGATTTGCCCCTTTAAGTGTGGAATTAAGATTCGTTCATTAATTATGCACTCTTTTCCATCCATCCATCATATAGCTCTAGAGACATGTAAGCCTCCGACAACAATAGCACTACGGTGAATACCTCTGCTGCAAGTCTTGAGGTGCATTCACAATTCAGTAGTCCTCTAAAGCACACTCTGAACGCATACGCATAATATATAATATATGTCCTTCAAGGTAGCCACTTCTATGACGTCGGAGCTGAAACAGTTACCACCATCATGTTGACGGTGCCTAGTAAAATTCGGAAGGGAATGTCGAATCATTCAATCATTATGTAGTCGTTTGCCAGACGTCTAACTTAGGCAGGTTCCTGGGTGACAGCCTGGCTCAGAAATCTAACACCATGAAATGAACTCGTGCATCAAGGGACCCCAGTGCATGTGATTTGATTTGCATGAGAGCTACTTGTAATCAAAAAACATAGGCTTAAAGGTTGAAGAAAATGTGCTTGTAATATGATACTGTAGGCTGGATAAACAATAAGCTGTGTTGTATTTTAAAGGAGCGAATAAAAATAATTCTAGAATATTTTATTAAAGAACCAACTGCAAGTATCATGGTTCGAAGTATAAAAACCAGAAATTCCCCCCTTCTATTTCAAACCTAAACCCTTTTCAGGATACAGTTGTCTAATCTGCCAACTTTTGATGCAAGGTTGGTGTCAATTTCCACTGAGCGGTGACACTAGACCCCAAAGCCCTTTTTGGTCTAATACCAACTGCAAATAGAAGAGATGTTCTGATTCTTGCCACCTGGAGAAAGAAGCTAGAAGATAGGTCTCAAGATTCCAAAGGATTCCATCACTATATTTTGATGTGATAGGTACTCCGGACAGTCACTGTAGTACTAGCAGCTACTTAGAGCCCAAAGAAACCTTCAACTGGCATGCACAGGAGCAGTAACAAGAATAGGAAGCAGGGTCAGAGGTTTCAATTCACCTCACGGAGCAAGTTGTGACAATCATCGACTTGCCGAACAAGGTAGTATTCAGGACACATAATTTGGGATTGGTATTAAGATATGCCCTGCCTCCGAAGGTATGTTGTCCTTACGAAAGTTTAACTTTGGTTTGGATTGTAATTATCTCATAATTGTTTTTATTTTGATATTTTGAAAATTGTTGAGATGTTGCAGTAGTTCTAGATGTATCATTAGCATTGCTTCATGTTGCTACTGACTCTCTAATATTAGTCCTAGCTTGCTACTACTCCCATTTCTATAAGATAGGCTATGAGAAATAACACTTACATCATAATCAAGAGATCATTTCAAACGTTTGAAATAGTACCTATTCAATTTAAATTCTACCACTTTTCACAAATCGAGCGTTGCGGTCAACATCTGAAAAAATAATCAATGACAAAATGTATTTCATTAAGGTAATGTATACAAAGTTTAATTTTGAAACTTATAATTCAATAACCTTTTTCTTGACATGTATGAAACCTACCAAACCTTATAATCCTAATATAATGTAGTATCAACCTTTGAAAAATTTTGGTATTGAAGTACTAATCCTTCCAATGCGTATAGAAAAGAACCGACTCCGAAATAAGAAACTTCATCACTCGCACTCCAGGAGTAGGAAACTTTAGTTCCATCAACCGCCATGTAATTCTAATTTTCGGTACACTAATTATTCTTTCCTTCCGACAAATCTTCCACATAAAGCAATATTTTTGGTTCTTCTGATAAATATGATTTGAAGATGATGCAATAGTTCGAGTGTTTAAAAACCATATGATTCTGAGCTTGTTAACTAGATCCAGGTCTATTACAAAATCTTTTTGGTCAATTCACTCTTGAGTAGGTAGTTAAGAAACGTTAGTCTCACATTTTGTTACATTGAGCTACTGATTTTGTTGAATGCTCCATCAAAAGGTACATCCACCACTAAAAGAAGTCGAAAAACCACTTGAAGATGTATTGCTGTCATATTATCTCCCCAACTAATAACATAAGAGAATGCTTTGAGAGTAACCTCAAATCATGGCCTCCCAAGTAGATGTTATAAATTCTCAGTTGCGAGAATAGCAGAGTCTTGACGCATCCCCAATAAGTTGGAAATGGACATTATTCTATACGTCCAAAGCTCTCACTCACTGAGCTATTTCTGGTCTGGTGCAAACAGCATAAACATTCTTGTACCTTTGTCGGTTTGATAGAGAAACTGAAAATATTCAATTGTCTCTTAGTATATTTTCCTTAGTTTGACAATAGAATTTTCTGGTGCTGCATCAGATTCTGTATACGTTTAGAAAAAGTCAAAATACGAAGTCTCGGTGATTTCATTCCATACGTTATGACTAATCTTACATGTATTGATCCCTAAGCAAACCTAGTGATCCTATCTAAAACATGACAAAGGTAAGATTCAACACTTCTCACTCCATTAACGTCCTTCCTCATTGGAGACAAAATCATATAGATACAATACAATATGAAAATTTTGTCTTTGATGTCCATATTCAATTATGAGTACTCTCCTGAAACCTTGTTGTTAGAGCAACAATATCAAAATTGATAAGAACCTCTGGTGTTTAATCTAGATCAGTAAATGTTTTTTATAAATAAGACAGATTACCTTCTTAAGCAATGTAGCCTCAAGAATATCCATGTAGATTACTCTTCTTATATACTGTTACGCAAGTTGTATACCCATCCAAATGCCCGATATCTTAGTCGTTCTCAAAAGCTAGAGCTAAAAGTATTTCGGTAGAGCAAACAACATTTATGCTGGGGCAAATAAAAATAAAATAAAATAAATAAATAAATAAAATATCAAAGCCTGTATAATGGCTGTACATCTTGATCATCAACCAGTTTTGAATTCAAAAAGTCTTGCGTGCCTCTTCTTTTAAATAGAAGATGGACATGCACCCATTGGTTTTTTAAATGAGAGGAAACATCTTCCCGGTGAGATATTTCTTAGAAGTACTTTATATTATTGTATTGAATTCACTTCTTCAATCTAATCTATTTGATTTGTGAGAAATTGAAAATGTTTCATCATCCTCAAATTTTAAAAAACTTCCTCCTTGACTAAATAACTCATCATCAAGATATGAATATTTGTTGTAACTATCCCCAATTTTCATGTTTAAAATATCCGTCTGAAGTATCTTCTTGGAGCAATTCCTCTACTTTCTCTTTTGTGCTCACTTCATTATCAGCTTCAAAATCAAATAGCATTCACGTTGCATGAATGTCACCATGTGTTTAGGATGATGATAGGCCTCTGTCATCACTGAAGAAGGATACCAGTCGTTGTACCTACATGTACAACGACATTAGCAACTATAGCATCTGTTGTCATCAAACAGCACATATATTCTCTCTTAGTGTATTTAAGGTATATATATATATATATATATATATATTCTTCAACTTTAAGAGAGATCCATCTTGACATAATTTTTTTGCATTTTCAAATTTGTATTTTGAAAAAGGTCAGAAAATTCCAAAATGGTAAGATCAGACTTCAAAATCAACTTGCAAATTTGAATCTTAATGAGTTTGAAAATTGAAACTCATAGTTATTTCACATCATATTCAATCAACTTGCAACTTAAACATGTGATGAATTCATCACATGTTGATAATCACATCTATAGTTGTCACATCCATTATAATATATTCATTATATATCAAAGCAAAGTACATATGATTCATGTAATTTGTGATTACTTAAATAATAATACTCTTCCTTTTCCTCCATATATAAGTTTCTAACGCACCTTTAGAATTTTTGAACTTATCAAGTGACTCATGTTTCAAATTAGTATACCATTTTGAATCTTGTCAACTTTGTTTAAGCCATTAGCTCACATACATGTGAATTTCTCAATTTCAACAAGTTTACGCAAGCCTATAATGACTCTACAAGAAATGGTTTTATTTGTATCTCTTTCTTTAGAGCATAATAATTAAAGCGTTTTTTTTAATTGATCTTTCACATCACTTAGCATAAATTTTAGAGATTTTAGATTGAGAGAATTATTAAAGTCCTCTTTGTCACAACTTCAATGCTTATTTGAGTATGATTTGACTTCATAAGTTTCATATCCAACGTTTATATAAGGTGTATCAGAGAAATAAGAACAGACTTCTTTCTTATCATTCTTCAAAGTACAAAATCTCATCCAAAAAACACATCAAAACTATTAATTGTTAGATTTTTGATTGAAAATTTTTTTTTAATTGATACATCTTTTTTCAATGAAAAATGTATCCAAATTTTTTTTCATTCAAAAAAAAAAATGAACTACATATCTTATCTCTTGTAACATCAAGTTATGTTGTTTAGTATTGTTCTCTCCTCCCCTATAGTTCGAGAGGAATCATTTTTATTATATAAATTTGGGATTTCACACAACTTTCATTCTCTACACTTTCATTCCTAAGATTAATTGCTTACATAACTTATATGAGATTTGGAGATTGAATCCACAGATTCAATCTTATCTGTCCTTACTTGTCTTCTATACTTTCGATTGTAAAATAATTACTTTCATTTAAGATATGAGTATTTTTTGACAAAATTGCACTCTCTTTCTTCTTTCCATCAATATTTTAATTTTGTATATTTGTTATTCTCTTTAAACCAAAAAAAGTTGGAGCCGACATATTTCTTCTTCTTTTTTTTCATTTTGAACAGAATGGAAAAACATGAGTTCATATATCGCCTAAGATCACATGTGGAACAATTTCAAAACTTTTGACTTCTCGTGACCCATTTTTACACTGATTTGTGTGCTAACATTTTAGTCTTGGAGCTTTGAATTTTTAATCTTTATCAAATTTTGAGTTCAGCTTTAGCATGTTGATATCAGTTACAATTTTGAGCAAGTATTCCATATATTGTTCAAGTATTTCATGCATATGCATAAGGTACTTGTTGACCTTATCTAGAGTCTTTCTTAATAATCTCTTGTAAACATCTCATCTTCAAAACGATCAATGTTTTCACGATGCTTGCAACACTTGAAGTAGTCATGTAGATTGAAAGTGTACTTAGCATCAAGTGTTAATTCTCTTTTCACTTGAGGTATTAGGCTTTTTATTAAGCTAACCGATGGGGTAAAAAAAACATGTGACATAAATCAAATTTTCAGTAAAGATATTATAAATATTTTGAAATATTTTTTTTTGAAATTTATTATGTATTAATATTGTTGAGAATGCTATCATTGTGAATACTAACTCGTATTTATAATTATGAATACAATTTAGCTTCTTAGCAAGAGAGTACAAGAGTGATGATAAATTTATGAAAAATGGGTGAAATTTAACCTATACTCTATAAATGTATAAAGTCTCAAACTTGAGGCTTTAACTAAAAATTCCAAGCTCAACCCTCTTAAACTCTAAAGTAAATTATTGTTTACTTATGATAAAATCTAGTAACTAGATTATACTTCTTACGATTAGTACTTCGTTGTGATATCTTATTTCGTTATTTAGCAAAAGGAATGCCTGATTTATTACATGCCATGGTCGATGGAGCAGACTCCTTAAATCAATTCATAAGCATGATCGGCGCATGTTGAAGAAGGAATATTGTCGTAGTGATTCAAACATGCGTAATTTGTCCGTTGTGAGACAAATACAACAGGAACTACACATTTTTTTGGTTACGGCAGTTGTAATCAAGTCTGTGAAGAGTGGACGACGTCAGATCACAACCTGACGTACGAATATCGACTCGAGATGTGAACTCAATTGTAGAAGATCCTGGTCTATGGTTTGATTCACCAGGAAAATGACAGGATATTAGTAGCCAATAATTTAGTTGCGGTACTACAATTACGTATGACAAGAACTATATCCTGCTGTTTAGCACCAAGATGGAAAAATAGGATACTTGATTAATGGAAAGGATGTGTGGGGATATGCATACTTTACTGCACAGTCACCTAAGCTTTTCCGGGAGTTTGTGAACAAAGGAATTGTTGTCAAGGTGTTGAACTGGTTCTTTGAACACATGTAAGAGGAAGTTTACGTGACGTGTCTTTCGTGAGTCCCAAAGATCACTTAAAAATTATCCATTTTTCCCGCCGGTAAGACTGTTATTCTTGATCCAGGACTCTGCAGCTCAGAACAGTATATATTATGAGAACGGCTAATTACAAAATCTGCGAGGTCTTTAAAGTCTGCCAGTCTTTTGATTCTGAAATTGGGAACTTAGTCTAAGACCTGTCAGAAGACAGAATTCCGTGTGTTCCACTTGAGGAATACTGGAGAAGTTTAACCAAAGTAAAATATGCGACAACATCCTACAATCTTGGATTTACTTTCAGTCATTTTGGAATCTGTATCTCTGATCAATCTAGCAAAATGTCTCAACATCCATGTCCTGCATGAGATCCTTCTGATCCTTCAATCAAGAAAGAAGTTTGTCACATTTTATCTTCAATGTCTATACAGGACGATGTGGATATCTTTGATATTCCATGTTTCTTGAGTAGAAACTCTGTCGTATAGAATTCCAACGGGCGAGTTGCGTAATTAAGAGTACAGTCTCTCTCCTGAGTGCAGGCTTCGCTCTCAGAAGATCCCCTCTGTAATTTAAATGGATTTCCTCTGTTTTTCCTAGTTCTCAACTACATTCATATGTCAAAACAATATCGGATGGGTGTTGATTTCTCTCAGTGGTCCCGGGCAGTAATAATTCTTGATATGGACTTGAGGTGTAGGTTCAGTGCGAATAACACAGCAGTCTAGGAGGACATATCATAGACTTCCTCCCACCAGGGTTGGCCACATGCTCTTCGCATTTCAAACCCCTGCCATGGTCTCTTGCTGCCCTCCTTCATTCATTAACTGGAAAGACCTTGCTAAAATGCTCTTGCTCTCCTCCTTCAGATCACTGCAGATAGTCTCAGGACACCTTTATAATGTATCATCTCATTTGTTTGCGAGCATAGTTTTCTACCCGAACCTGTGTTAGCATAATGTCCTCACATGTTGTCCAGATTTGAGTTCAGTAACACATGAATGTGTATCTCATTCTAATGCATTCGCCATATTCATCCAGGTAATCCAAGAAACTGCCAATAGATTTTGAATCGTGCAGGGAATGCTGAAACCCTTCACCAGTAATTGTCTTCATTTGCCCATTTTCTTAACTTGAAGGTCCCTTTAGTGAATTACCAATTTACCGTGTTGCATCGGACTAGCAAAATCCTGCTGCCCTATGCAAATAAAGGCTAGATGAATTTAGTGTGTGGCTAGACACCTCAGACAATGTTGGTACAAAATTAGAAAATTCTTCTCATATTTTATCAGGAAACCATGCTAAACTGATAAGAGACTAGAAGGGCTAGCTGGTTTGGCAGAATGGAACGTTTACAAACAGTTCAAAATGTGTTGTAGACGAGCAACTCTCTGCATGACCGTTATGTGACTTAAGAACTTGGATGAAATTTTTCCCTGTATAAGGTGAATTTCTTGCAGCTTTGCTTATCTTAGTTTGCTGTTCAGGACCTCTATCAACCTGGATTTTTGCGTCATCATTTCCTCTTCAATTTTTCTGGTTGGAACCATGTAAAATTAATCTGCATGATGTTTTCTCAGGATCGCAACGAGCTTAATGTAGTACCCGTTCTCCTCTAACGTTATGCTCAGATCATGACCTTATTAAGTTGCAGTATTCTGTGTTCAAGAGCTCTCCGTTCTTTACGGCCCGAACAGTTGACTTCTGAATGAACTTTAGATTTTCTGTCAACAGTCTAAGCTATATACAATATGTTCAAATATTCGGCACTCTAAGCTAAACTGCTGTGACATAGATCATGGAGTTTGAAGTGACTAACATGAAGCGTAGAGCATTCTTCCCTAACATCTTCAACTTGAGGTTAGAGGGAACTGTTTGCCAGTCTCTGTAACTGAAATCTCTTAACCTCTTGAATGTTGTTGTCTTTCAGACTCGTGACCGTTGGCTCTACCAAATGAAGTGATGCAACTCAGCATGATAAGATGCTCTCATAGGAAAATTCTCGACAATAATCTTGTGCAGAAAATCTGGAGCATCGTTGGTTCGTCATGGGTTTGTTTAGACCCGTAGACCTTGTGAGAAGCAAATCATGCTTTTAACCAGATTTGGAGAAATCCCTAGATAGAGGTTCAGCGGTCCACCATCACTGAGGGAGGACCAGTTATGTAAAGCTTTGTCTCTTCGTGTAACTTTGGCTACCATTGGCAAATATCTACTCAGATCACTCAGTCTGTATGTTTATCTTCAAGTAAACACTGCAATTCCTCCAATTCAATAACGCTGTGTACTAAATTGTCTCTGAAGTGTGATGGACTAATAAGTACCTCAGCATGCATATATATGTATTGCATTAGATAAAACATGCTTTGCATACAATATCATCATCTTGCAGTGAAATCCGCTTACAGCCACCTTCAAAGGTTTTTTCTAGGTTTCGTCTCTTAGCTATAGGGTGTCGCTAATTCTTCAATCTCGTGCCCTGTAAAAACGATAGTGGTAATGATTCGGATGAGTTTCGATAATTAAAAAAGACTGGCCCAAGTTTGGACATTCCAAGACAGTGTTCATAAAATCAACTTGTAAGACTATAAATTAGGTTTTTATTTAGAAGTTCATACATCATTGAAGGCCAATGCTCTTTTAGTGTGTTCAAAGTGCCTCAATCCTGAATCTGTGTAGTGATGGTGAATATGCTTCTGATGAATACCAGTGGTTACTACGGTACACTTTAACCACTGTACACTTTAATGCACTTAGAGAACTGTATGTCATATCTATGTGTCAATACAACCCTTGAAACGTGGTGTCAAATGACATGCCTGGTGCTTGACTATTGAGATGAGCAAACGTATGAAAAAGTATCAGCTTACCAACCATGTCCGAAACTATCCAACTTTGAACCTATTCAGTGGGATTGACAGAAGTTCTCAAGGCAGGTTTTCCTCTACCTCCTCCAGAAACAACGTTTGTGTCACACGATCAACCTTTTACAACAAAGTAGGTCCAATCTGAGTTCAACGTAAATGAATTCTACAATTTTCCTTAATAGTGAGCAATATTGGACATCATGACCGATTTTTGTTGATTGAAGTTAGGGCTTTTGAGGTATAGTACATTCAGAGAACACGTTCACGCAAGTAAGCCTCCTCACCAAAAGCTTGGTGCGTGAACCTCTTCACCAAGCTGTTGCGGGCAGTCCTGATGTATGTCTATGCTCCAGAAAAGTGAAGTTGTCCAGATAGCATTTACATCCCCACCCTTCAATTTGAGTTTGCTACCTCAGTGTTCATTGTAACAACTGCATTTTTGCATGGCATCTCTCTCTCAAATATTACAATCTATCTTGTATATAAGAATCTTACGTCCAAAAATACAAGTTATGCATTATCAAACTTAAGTCAAAATGAGTTATTTTTAACATACACATTTCAAAAAGCACAATTTGAATCTACTCTACTTTGATGTATCAATTTACATGTTATTTCTGTATATGCTTATTTAGGCTAATAAAAAATTGGTTACATTCACAATCCTTGACAAAACACAATTTATCCCACTACTGTTACCTCACAAAAATATGTATTGCCGTAAGATCAGATTCAGTATATATGTGCATTCTATTTTCATCAAAAGAAATCCATATGATATCAGACTTAAGTCATTAAATTAGACGTCAGAAAAATTCTTTCAAGTTTTTTTTAATTAGGAAATTAACCTATTTCAATATTAAAATTTAGAATCTGTAGATATTTAAATGAAAGTTTAAAATGAAGATATAGAAGAAAATATTCCAGATTATTATTATTTTCATAATATTTTGATTACCCTATTGACCTTACAATTTTACAATTATGCCAAATTCGAGTTCCTTCGATTTTTAACATATTTTTGTTATAATTCCTTATATAATTGTATATTTTAAATATGTTACATCAGAGAAGAATTTTTTAACACACTTTTTCATGCAATTACACAATATTGATATAATCACGTCATTGTTTATATATAAATAATACCCTCTATTTTGTTAATGAACCATGTGATTATGGGGGTATACTTTCTTGAGAAAAAGATTTTTTGGGTTTATTTCTTCCCCAGAAAAAATATCAGTATTCTTAATAAAATATCTTTCTAAGATATATTCAAAGTTTACCTCATTTGGGGGTTCTTCAATACAAACTCTAACTTTTATAAACTTACACACACAAGAACTTCAAACCTCATTAAAGTCAACTGTCTGTCAAAAGAAAGAGACTGAACATGAAATATAATATATATTTTCTCAAAGGAATAAAATAAATCATACAATGTGTCACTTTTGGCTGAAAATGTCAAGAAGAACCGGTTTATTGGTTGTAACTTGAGGCTGTAGATTGTGATCTTTGAGTTAAATTGAAACTTAAAATAATAATCTGAGTATCCTGCTATGCTTTCAAAATAAAAATTTATCTTATAGAGTATATTATTAACCTTATTCGACAAGTCATATTTTTTATAAATAAGGTAATGGTCACTCGTTGTAATGATCCATTTACAGATTTCTAAATCCCTCCTTTTTAAGTCTTGAGCAGATTCTTTAGCTCACAGTCATCCGTTACCAAGAGGTTTTTGCAAGATTGATTGTAATATTGATCATATTTGTCTCACTTATCCATGCCGGATTGAGCTCCAAACTCGAATTTCTCTAAAACCCTAAATAAATCTAAAGAAGAACATTTGTATAAATCATGGCATGTTGAGATATTTTCAAGCGTGAAGTGGCGTGGTTTGAGTGCTCAAACCATGAGAAAGCAACTTGACCCTCGAACGACAGGCTACGCTGTTATCATTCACTCTACACTGCCTTTTGCTGGACCCTCGCAGTGTTCCAGTGATGGAGCAATGTGACGTAATCGCAAACAGAATTCATTTGATTAGAGTTGGCAAGGTGAGGATGCAAATAGGCTCATTTTCAGTTGTGTGGTCGAAGGAAGGCTGCAAAAAAGCTGATCTAAAAGGAAGGGATGGGTAATTGGGATGCTGCTTTTGAGGCCAACAGAGTGAGAGACATAACTCGTTATGTCTGGATGCGTTTTTGCGGTTCGCATGAGACAAAGTGGTAGGATCTTATCGGGCCACCTTAGCTTGAGGCCGTGGAGAAAATGCTTCTCAGACGCACGTGAAATATATGTGGAGGAATCCTAGTTCGACTATAAATAGATGGAGTCCAAGCCGGTAAGTTGCGAAGTTCCAGTGCTCCGAGATCTGAACTGAACTGAAATTCACGCCAGGCCTCGAGCCCGTTGTGTTGTAACTAGAAAAGCGAGCCCTCTTTCTAGAACCTCCAGAAACTGGAGAGCGTTTGTCGTCTTATTCCAGGAGCTGTATTGGCTACGATACACTGTCAGAAGTTCTGATCCGGCTGCTGAATGGCAACAGGTTTCGAGTGGAGGCGACTTCCCACGTCAGATATCGTTTCGTTTTGGGATCAGCGAGGCCTTCCTCGATCGCTGCAATAACTCTGCTCTTCTCGCCTCCTCTCTATGTCTGGCCCAAGTTCTGTTAACTGCGGATCGGCCTCTACGGTAGTTGTAGCTTATGCCCTGCCCTGCGCCACCTTTGGTATGACTTATGGATCTAACACTTGTTCGGAAACTTGTTTTCAACATGGCAACAGATGCGTTTTGACCTCGAGCTAGCCTCAGTCTGGACTCTGGCTAGCTCGATTCCGCTCTCGGTCTAGGATCCGGAGGTATCATGGTTTTCTTTTCTTCCAGTTTACGCATCTGTCTATCCAAGTGTTCCTTTCCGACGTGATCGACATCTATCCGCCTATCCGCCTGTCCTTCTGACAAGCCTGGTTGAGAAGTTGCATGCAACTTTCCGGAGAAGATTTGACACGTTTCTCAGAAAACGCTCAAATCATATATCAAGGCCCCACGCACAAAGAAGAGAATGTCCGACGTCCCCACAGTCATCCGGACAGACGAACGAGCAACCTTTCGAGGGGAACTCCTTGCGACCAAGGAAACGAAGACACGGGCATCATTCACCTACACGTGCTCGAACTAGCGTAGGTGATCGCTTTCCGCACTTTTGGAAAGTTAAATGCAACCCGCAGACACTCGCCATGGTCCATGGATAACTACGATTATAGTGCTAGTTATATATATGCGAAGAACGGAAGGGCAGATTCCGATCCGGAAATAAAACGCATTGAACATGTGTTCATGTCCTAAAGGCAACCCGGGCGAGGGAAATTGCTGGTTGCCTGGTCCCTTCGCCCCAGTCGAACATGACCAGGCCATTCTTGAATGAGTAACGTCAGACAATGAATGGGTCATCGTCCACTAGCTGCTACTGAAAGCGGTCCTCCTCCTCAAGCGGTGGCGCTCTGATGACGAAGACAATCAGTTGACAGTGATTGGGTCTCTTTCGCTACTGCTTGGACGTCTCACGAGACAGATAAGCTGCCAAACAAACGATAGTAAGAATCGTCATATAGCAAAAGATTACCACTACCCGTCGTACCCCGATCTCAAAAGTGCAAAGCCGAACCAGTTCAAAATCTCGTCGATTTCCGGACCTCTGACTTGCCGTTCATTACCGATCGATTTTCGTACCTGCATCTAGATATAGTTTCTACTGGAGAACTGAAACCACGTGTTGATCTTCGCTCGTGAATTTCGTCGCCTTATCATTCATACATCCATAAACTTCTTCGCTGAGCTGTAGTATACACACAGACTAGAATTCAAGGAACAAAATATTTCTGTTGGAGTGCTGTTGGTACTATTTCCTATACTAGCACGTTCTTCATATCTTCCTTGAAGTGCGTGCTTGCAGCTTTATCTGTTGTGAACTGTCTTACGAACTTACCTTGGTCCTGTGTGGTCAAACCGGATTGCAACTGCAAACCACCGCTTTCTCGTTGTTGTTGTGGTTAAACTTTCGATTTAGCACACGTTTGTAAAGGAGCTAAGCATTGACATTGACATTGCAATATTGCATTGACATTCGCAATATTGGCCTAGCCAAACCATTGTTTTGTCATCTGCTGCGAGTTGAGCCCTTTCCTAACATCCACTTGCCTGATCGTTGTCAAGTGGATCTAGCTTAGGCCTCAACAAACAATGCAGAACGAGTGCGTGAGCTCAACGATATCGAGCAGCACGCCATACTCAGGATGATGATTGTTGTGACCCCTACGACCAAGTGAACTAAGACTTGGAGATAATTCCAGCGAGCATCTTTTGGTGATGCACTGGTTTGCGAATGGAGCTGGTGGACTCCTTG